CGATGGATTAAAAGTATCTGATACGTTTCTGGAGATGGATCGAGTATACGTTGAGAAGGTCGTCGAATGACATGGTGCGCAATGCAGACCACTGCTCGAGTTGAAGGTGATTGGGAAGCAACAAGTGGGGCATTGGTCCTAGGGTGACACGGAGGAGATCGGGAGAAGAGATGAGAGATTATGGGCAACGGTAGACGCAGCTAAAGTGGACAGCAGGAAGGAGAAGAAAGTGCAGATGTGTTCCACTCGTAACCCAATGGAATAATAATAGTTAATGGACATAGAGTGACTGGGAAACCGTTGGGTGACATCATAAAATAGGCAAAATCAAATAGATTTTTATTGATAATGAAAACTGATCAATATGTAACAAGAGAAAACACTTTTTAAAACGGAATGACTAGCGAAAATTTGATACCTGAACAGGTTTCTGTGCGTTTTTTTTAGTTTTGATGACCCCTGTGAACAATAACACAGCTAAGAGATGATGATAAATTGAAAGTATAGTGAGAGAGAAGTTTCAGAAAATTAGTTGCCTAGGTATTTATTATCACATTTCTGTGAACAAAAAAGAAACCGGTTCAACTAGTTTTCTTTTCCTTTTTTCGTCTAAATTTCAAGTTAGCCTGAAGGAAGGGTTGTTCCACTTTGCCCACTATATTGTTTTTCACAGTTGAGACAACACCTATCACACATATACACCATGTTGGTTTCATCCTCTCTCACTGTTGGATCACATACGACTGAAAAGTAAAATGCATCAGCAGGGGGTAAACCAAATTCCCTAGAAGAAATAGCCAGAGGCAATCAGTCATAGTCTACATAACCACGACTGAGATGCTCACTAGCGACTGGCCCTATCAAGTAGATAGTTACCTGGGGTTTTAGCGGGAAGTCGTGACCAGTAGATTATGGCAGGTCGGGTGTGGGGACAAATACTCGCCAGCAGTGACATAGGCTAGAGATCACGCTACGTCGCGCGTGGACTGGCAGAAGGTGAAATTCATAGGCTGGTAATTGGATCGGGTCCCAGTGGCTGATGAATGGTCTACGAGCTCGCTAACCTTGTAACCAAAAGGTCCTGAGTTTGAACCCTGTCGCTGTGGGTGAGTACCACCGAAGAGTCTCGAACTAGTCTGACGAGACATCTGGTTGTCCAGTAATCCGTCGCGGTTTCCTGATGGTTCTCTAACCGATGTCAGCTCATGATGAAATCCTATGATCAATCTATCAAAATCCCTAAAAACCAATACTCGAATAATCAAGGAAATTGTATATATCATTTAATGACTAATTCCCAAATCTGACTTCACACACTGAAGATGTTCATCAATAAAGACAGCGAAACTTTTGAAATAAAAAAGCGCTCCATCTTAAGAAAATATGATGATACATTAAGACTACAGAGTTTGATCTATCCCTCTTAAGAGACTGTAAATACAAATATATACATGTTCCAAGATAGTAGCAGCATAGTACAGTAGTGAAGATACAATAAAAAAAAATAGGTTAATCTGCGTTTAAAATAAAATCCCTTTTCTAAACAATATAAAGCATGCATCCACTGGAAATTACTTGGCATGTGTAGCATTATAATGCCCAGTGAAGCTCCTCTGTGAAGCGTTTGAAGGCAAGACAGAAGTAAGACATACTACCAATAATCACAAATGTTATTCCTGACTGGGGATCAAGAAGACAGGCATATTTTGGACCCAAAATGGAATTCACAAATGGGTCTTTTGCCTAATGTCGTACAAAATAGAAAGTCCAAGGGACGGGGGGGGCGAAACCACTAGGTTGACCCAGAAGAAGCAGTCCGGAAGCGAAGATCGCCATCACCAATCGAAGAAATTTTGAAGGAAATCACCAATTTCATCGGTCTCAACAGAATCATTTCAACTACAGGTGAAACGAATGAGAGTGAAGAAGGGAGAATCGATAGAGTAAAATAGCTTCATTGGATACTAGTAACTAGTGCGATGTGTTTAGTCCTTTCTTCGGTACAGACTGAATTCTATCAATCAGGTAACATTTGCAACGTGACCACCAGTCTAGGTAGCTGGCCATCACGATGCACTTTGAATTGTTGATGTTAGATGGTTGAAGGCAATCGAAAGAAAACCTTAGACCTTGGTTTCGTGCTAGGTGGCACTCACCAGTCAGCAACCATGAAGTAACTCATGTCTCTGCTTATGAGATTCGAACCCGCGTCACCCAGTGTCACCCACAGTCAGAAACATTACCACTGAGCTATTCGGGCTCACGGTTGACGCGGGTTCAAACCTCAGAATGGACATGAGTTCCTCCAAGACTGCAGATACGCCTTGCCTTGACAGTTAAACTGAGTCAGGTAGGGAGATGCAGACTCCCGGGTTGGGGCCCTCGAGACTCTAGGAATCAATGGCTGGAGATAATAGGTGACATGGCTCAAAATCGCTGTCAATGGCGCAGATATATTCAGTCTCTGTAATCTTTCATATTCCTTCCTACCATTACCCATTCTGTTTCACTCTTATATTTGTCAAACTCTGTTGATTCTCTTCACTCATCTTCTTGTCTACTTCTGTGTGCTATTTGGATCGTGGCAACTCAAACTGCCGCACTTCGGTGCCAAGTTCTATGTTGAATCCAGACAAACAGACAGACAGATACGCCTTGCTGACTGACTGGCGAGTGCCAACTAGCACGAAACCTAGGTCAAACAAGGCTTCTATTCGATTGCCTCTAACCGTCTAATATCATCAAAAGTAAGATAGTTTTTCTATAATTGGTTTTTAAGGATTAGATTCCTAAATTAGGCTGAAACAGCTGTCCAGTTCTCCTGTCCTGGTTTTTTCAGTAGTTCTCTAACTCATATCAATCTGTGATCAACTCGTAAAAAGTAAGATAGACCTTGATTACTCTGGGATCAGTTTGCAGACCTACTGTATTCACATCGTAAAGAATAAGATTCAAATTTTTAGCACTTATGTCAAGTCAGTTACTACTTTAATATTGTTGTTCAGAGACTTGGTTAGAGCGTAAGAAAAAGCGTTTCCAAAAACAGGCTACTGACAAAAAAACGTATCGACGACTGTCTTCACTGCACTTCATTACTGAAGATTAAATGGTCGACCGGAAAGCATAAGTAACAAGGAACTCTGGCAACGATTCAGAGTTAAGAACTTATCAGCCACACACACGGACACATGCTGAAAACACAGTCGTTGAGTGACACATCACCTGCCAAGGAGGCCGCGTTCCAAGAGGGCACGAATAGGAAACGATGAATTCAGCATGAGCCTGGGGTTAACATGGAAGAGATTAAGAGAGAGAGAGAGAGACAACGAGATGAAGGCGTATGCATAATCGTGTAGCGAGATAAAACACAACTATAAAGAACAGAATGACACAGAATAATAACCTTCATTATATCTATCATTCATGTTGCACAATCATTTCTTCATAATTTTTCTTTCGTTTCAGTCATCAATTAGAATAACGCTAACATCACTTAAAAATGTGTATGTGGGGACGTCGGGGGGGAGGGGTAGTGTGGACAGGATGATGAGTAAGCGAGGAGAGAATAGACAGATTTCGATCGATAAATTCCACTTTTCTTATATCGGGTGTTTTTTATCGCCTGGATCAAATGAACTAACAACAATACACATCAAACCAACAGTGCATTTAAAAAAAACAAAAACGATCAATCCTTGTGATAGATAGTTCAGAGTACACAGATTGATCAAACTTTTTCAAATGTACATTTTAAAGAAATTAAAGCAAGTATGTTGTGAAAATAAAAATGAGAGAGATAAAAAACAAATGTTTTCTTTAAAAAAAAAATTTGTTGAAGTTTGTATTTCCCGAATCGATATATCCAGCCTTTTTTTCATTGGACACTAGTAACTAACTAGTGTGACGTGTCTGGCTAGTCCATTTCTTTGGTGCAGGTTGAATTCTAACAGTCACGTTAGGTTTGTAGTATAGCCACCATGCCACTAGGTGCACACATTGATTTGATGATATATTAGAGAGTTGGAGGCAGGCAATAGGCATGAATAGCTCAGTGTTAACGTCTCTGACTGAAGGAGGCACTGGGTGAGGCGGGTTCGAATCTCAGAAACAACATGAGGTCCCTCAAGTTTTCAGATACGCCTTGCTGACTGAGTGATAACTGCCAACCTAGGTCAGATAAGGCTTCCTTCCGATTGCCTCCAATTGTCGAATATATCCATCCTCCCCTGATATGTCAGCTACTAGTAAGGAGGCTTCTTCAACAATCTTTGGGGATTGCTTAACATGATTTCATTTGATGGTAATGTGATTAGCAGTGGAATTCAAGACGCCTATTTCGTCCTACTTATGACTCGTCATCTGGATATACCTGCAGTCCTACTCCAGTGAGTGATGATTTTCCCAATCAATACACATCGTTTCAATCACTAAAAACTTTATGTGACAGGCCATGAGAGCCATCCACTTGCGTGCATCCTCGATTCCACTACTACCACTGGTCACCATTCGCCAAATTTACCGGAGCCATCTGAATTCTGAGATGTTGTCCAAGCGGCTGTCAACAGACGTCGAGGCATTTCGGTCCAGTGAAAGGATAAATATGAGATTCACCTGAAATACATGAGGTAGCTCTCTCATGGCTCAAATGGCCTAGTGGATACCCATTTGGTGTTTAAAATGATGGGTGTTCTGGGGTTCGAGCTTCAGTGGAGACACCAGAACTCATTACTCACTGGGGAATGCAAGTTCATTCGGCTGACGAGTCTCAAGTAGGACGAAATGCGCATCCTTGTGGATGGATTCCACTGCTAGTCACCATCCATCTACCAAAAATGATAAAACTACGTATAAATAAATAAAAAATGATACAATTAAAAACAGCCCCCCCCCCCCGCTGCCAAACACGCACACACAAATGTATAATTACGGTATGAACTAACAGAGAATAGAAATACATCAGCTATAAACCAATCTGTTGATTAGAAGAATAAAATATTTACCCGGTGAAGAAGTCAGTGAACCAACTGACAACTCTTGACCTTGTTGAATTGGTTCAAGAGTGGAACCAAGAGAACAACCAACTGGTATAGGATGACTTATTGCCTGACCAGATGATGATCCTATTGACGAATTGTGCATATCTTCAGTTTTAGATGATTTCTGTAATTTAAATAGAACACATATCGAATTCAACAAAGTACACCCAAAGATGATAAAGTAAGATGGTGAATGTATGCAAAAAATATAAGTGTACATGTAGTTTGATTAAATCATTTCACCCCGACAGTTTCTTTGTTTAAAAATATGACGACAACAACAATGCATTGGGTCTGATCAACTTTGATCGACTTCGTAGTGAAGCGAATTTTAAAGTCAAGGACACGAGTGAACACAATACATCGAGATAAATAGTATGACTTATAATAATGATTTCGATGCTTATATATATATATATATATATATATATATATATATATATATATATATGAAACTGGATTCAAATACTTCGTCACTGATCCAACAGCCAGCATAAACGGGAGGAATTTGAAAGAAGCAAGCTCCTTTACCTAACTACCTACCTACCTGAGAAGCATCGTTTCAACTGCTGGTGGGCGGAACTGACGAGCAAGGATCGATCGGGAAAGCAAGACAAGCTTTCATTACTCTCAAGTCTGTGTGGACGTCAACAGTACTACTCAGAATGAAAAGGAATATGAGATGCGGATTTTCAACTCCAATGGTGCTACTATACGGATCAGAGACTTGGCGCGTCATAAACACCACCTCAAACAAACTACAGACCTTCATCAACAGCTGTCTTCGCTCAGAACAACTCAAGATCAGATGGCTAGCCGGAAAAGATCAACAACAGGGATCTCTGACAATGAGCGAACCAGCCAGGAACCGATTGTGCAACATATAAGCAGGAAGAAATGGAGATGGATTGGGCATACTCCGAGGAAACCACCAAGTAGCATCACTAGACAAGGTTTCGAGTGGAACCTGAAAGGGAACCAGCGAGTTGGTCGCCAGTGTGAGGGTGATTTGAAGGAGGTCATGTGAAGAGGAGATGAAAGCATAGGGGCAGACTTGGAACCAGGTGAAAACTCTAGCAGAGAACCGAACGCAAAGGAGACGCGTGGCTGAAGCCCTATGTTCTTCTAGGAATTAAAGGAAATAAAAATAATAATATTATATATATATATATTTATACTTACCATATGTATATCTGACCTATTCCTATCATCCATATGACCGGCTACTAAGACTGGTTGATTAAACTCCTCAGTTTTAAGCATCTCTCCAAGAGGTTGTTTTTTCCTTTGCGAGGTATCTCTTCAGTCTATAATTAGATAAAAAAACAGCAGATAATAAAAAAGGAATAAGCCCAATTAACAGAATACAATTCATAACTGATTAAAGATGTGTCTCTATTCACTGCAAACTTCAAAAGACTGAGGTTAGTAGACAAAGTTTATTCCTCTTTTTCAAATGAACTGTCGTCAAGAATTAACAGAATAGTTCCAAAATATAACTGAGCGCCGAGTGAGTAGACATTAGTGAAAAAAAAACAATTGTATTGGTAAAATCTCAGCAAGACTGAAATGAATTTTTCATTTGAATTAGTTTGCAATCGAATTAAATTAACGAGGAAACTATGCTAATTGGCACAATCATCGTCTTTCCACTCTCCGTTGTCTGCCACAGAATGCGTATCCAAATCCGTAGCGGTCTAGTAAACTCACAATTCCATTGGGTCGAATAAAGCAGCTCAATATTCAGAAAGAAAACAAAGCAATAAGTTTGACAGGGTGATTCAACTAAACTCTAATCATAAACACCACAATTTTGAAAATACATCTCATCATAAAATTCCAGATACTAACAGTTTGAACAGACATGAAGGTGTGATCTTGTTAGCTGATGCATAGGAAAACCTGATTAATAAATAAGAATGGATACGTATCACTAATTAATTAATAATACTTGGTCAAAGTTCCCGACTGTCTATATCTTCTTATGGAGAGGTTAAGAAATGTTTTACAACTGTTTACCCACACACATATACTCATACACACTCTGTTTAAAGTGTTTAGAAAAAAAGGTAGACCGATATTTGTAAGTCTGAGGTCAAATTTTGATCACAGCTCATATAATTTTGTTTATTATACTTGTTAATACTTGTTTTATGACTCAGGATTGGACAAAGTTTTTAAAAACAAGAGATGTTCCCCTTTTCTGCATATAAACCTCTGTTATGTTAATTTCGATTAATTTCCCTGAAGAAGTTAGGAAAAGTTTGTTGAACGTAGGAAACGTTGGAATTACTCATTTCAATCTCGCTGAGATTTTACAAATATAATTTTTTTACAAATATTCCTCCTGATATAATTTGTAAGGATTTAAATTAACTTTAATTTCAATTAGTGGAACCAATGAATCAAAATTAGTGAGGTCATTGAAAAAACCGGCATAAAGTATTACTGGACAGCTGTTTCGTCCTAGTTATCGGGGGTACTCTTCAGTAGTATAGTGTACACTCACGACCATATCTGGAATCGAACTCAGGAGATCAAAGTCGTTGACCATTCAACCACCTGGGCTAGAATTCAATAAATGACCAGTAAATTTCATCAAAAAGTGTTTAAAATCTAATCATAACACCAACAAGGAACCATCACCAAAACCACAAGAAAATTCATCCTATCATACATGAAAAATATCTCTGAAATAAGAACAGCTAGAATACTGAAACCTTTTGATATAGACATAGCCAGCACACAAGCCAGCCAGTCAAATCGCTTAATTCGATATTATGCAAACCGAAAGACCCATCCAACAGAAAAAGGAGAAAAAACGAGATTAATACCATTTACAAAATAAATTGCATGTATGAACTGTAACAGGTATCACATCGGTGGTCGAAGTGGGCGTCCGTCTCCTTTCGAATTAGAATCCAGGAACACAAATCAGCTGTGAAAAGACACGATATATATATTCCTGTTTCATATCAATTCATATAGACAATTATGGACATCAGTTTGGTGATTAGGATAATGTCGAAATCTTAGACAGAGGAAACACCACGAGAAGTGCAGTCAGGGAATTCTTAGAAGCTAAGCACGGTACTCAAACGAGTATGCAATTAACAAACAAGTTGATATAGAACAAATATACCACCAACTAATAAAAAGTAAATCACATGTGACTAGAAAGTTTAAAATCCAAGTCGATAGAAAATGATCAACACATATGTAAAGATGGTTACCGGGAGACGCAGTTCTATCACTCACTCATGGAAAAATTTGGATCATTTCACTTTATGCTAAATATTGCGCTGAAAGGGGATGTTGTCCGGCAGTGAGGGGACGACGAAAGCTCCCCAACTAAACCAATCAGCTCAGAGAACACTATTAATTGCAAATTCTAATTTGGTAAACTCATGATATATGGAGCGCTTCTATCAACCCCCTGAGCGCATCCACTTCACACATCTTAACATAATGGACTCTAGTGTGGTCGGTCACGAGTTTTTTCAGCACAGCTTCGGGACATACACATCCGACAGCCAACAATATGAATTTTGAGACTGATATTCATCATTAGGTTGCATAATAATATTAAAGAATTATTGATATTGACAATAACGTGTTAACGTGGAGAATCATTAACATCAAAACTGCAAGAGTATTTTATGCGCGAGTAGACTGTTTAATAGATTACAGATCGAAGCATGAGGGGGGAAGATGTGTGATAATATTATGAATAAACGTGACACTAAAATGAATAACAGATTTTCAAAGTAAATGACTATGAATACTAATCAGAATACATGGAGTAATTAGTCAATGCTCATAATTAATGCTTATAAATGAATTTTATTCATCGGTTAAAGACATCGGTTTAAGAACCATTGGAAACCACCTCGAAGTACTGGACAGCTGTTTTGTCATCCTAGTTTGGGACTCAGTATGCACCCATCCCATTGGGATTCAAACCCAGGGCCTACCGGTTACAAGACTAGCGAGCTGGTAGACCCTTCATTAGCCCCTGGGACCCGATCCAATGGCCAGCCCATGAATTCCAACTTCTACAAATTCATGACACAGCAGCGCGACCACTTCGCAATGTCTCTCTCGATGAGTTACTACCTCACCTCCAACTTGCTGCACCCTACTGGTCACGACTTCCCACCAGAACCCCAGGTAACTGCCTGAATACCGTCAGTCACTAGTGAGCATCAGGTCAATTTTCCAGTATTGGTTTTGTGAGGACTTTGATTGTTTACAGGATTTCATGATGAGCAGATATCGGTTAGGGAACCATTGGAAAACTAGATGGGAGTACTGGACGGCCAGCTGTTTCCTTCGTCCCAGTTAGGGACTCTTCCTCAGTACGCACCCACCTACATATTGCTTATAAACTTACTGTGGATGAGTAATAATATTAAAAGGTTGGAAGATTGTATATATATGTTTAGATAAGATATTATTTATTTATTTATTTTATCTTTGATTACAGCTTGATTCCACACCGTATTTTTGGTACAACAATATGGAATTTTCAGAATGGATATCGATAGCCCACATTTTGCAGGCCGTCCATAGATATCAGGTGTACGTCGGCAGGGGATCGAACCTCGGACCATGTGCATGGTTGGCGAGAGTCCTAACCACTGTGCCACCGACTCACCAAAGATAAAGGATTAGTTCATATAAGTACAATCACAAGGCGGTAGGGGTGTTGAAACAAACACAATAGAAAAGTCATAGTGAAAAGAAATCCGATTTCATGATATTAGATGGTTGCACACTAGTAACTAGCGTAACGTGTCTAGTCCTCCCTTTGGTGCAGACTGAATTCTATCAGTCAGGTTTACAATGTGGCCAACATTCTAGGTGGTAGCTTACCATCACGGTGCACATTCATTTGATGATATTAGATGGTTGGAGGCAATCGGAAGAAAGTCTTGCCTGCCCCAGGTTTCGTGCTAGTTGGCACTCATCAGCTAGGCGTAGCTGCAACTGCCTTGAGGGAACTCATGCCCCTTCTGAGATTTGAACCCGCATCACCCAGTGCCACCCCTTCAGTCAGAAACGTTACCACCGCACCAGTTATTCCTGCCGATTGCATCCAATCAACTAATATCATCAAATCAA